GATGTATGATGAAGATAGACAAGGGAAGAATGCTTCAGGAGATACAGGGAGGAGGATAGTTCACACAGATGAGTTCAAGTATGTTTCCGAAAAACTGCTGCGGTTTTGACATATATATATACTTCAATGCCATGCAAGTGTTCCAACATGTTTCTGTTTTGACTTGTAGGTTCTTGGACAGAGCAGCGTACATCACAGCTAGAGATCTTGATGACAAGAAACAAGGCGGAGTGAATCCATGGAGGCTTTGTCCTGTGACACAAGTTGAGGAAGTCAAGTGTATTCTTAGACTAATGCCCATTTGGCTCTGTACTATCATCTACTCGGTCGTCTTTACACAAATGGCCTCTCTATTTGTGGAGCAAGGCGCAGCGATGAAGACCACTGTCTCGGATTTCAAAATCCCTCCAGCAAGTATGTCCAGCTTCGACATCCTTAGCGTTGCTTTGTTCATATTCATCTACCGCAGAGTTCTCGAGCCACTAGCCAACAGATTCAAGAAGAAGGATGGAACAAAGGGAATCACCGAGCTCCACAGGATGGGAATCGGCCTTGTGATTGCTATCTTAGCTATGGTTGCAGCCGGGGTTGTGGAATGCTTTAGACTTAAATATGCAGACAAGAGTTGCACTCACTGCGATGGCTCAAGCTCACTAAGCATCTTCTGGCAGGTACAGAAATACAGCCCTAAAATCAATAATATCCTACAGAGGAAACTCTTGAGACCTGAAAATATATCTCTTCATTACAGGTTCCACAATACTCACTCATCGGAGCATCAGAAGTGTTCATGTACGTTGGTCAGCTTGAGTTCTTCAACGCGCAGACACCAGACGGACTAAAGAGCTTTGGAAGCGCTCTGTGTATGATGTCAATGTCGATGGGGAACTTTGTGAGTAGCTTATTGGTGACAATGGTGGTGAAGATCTCTACAGAAGACCACATGCCTGGTTGGATTCCAAGGAACCTCAACAAAGGTCACTTGGACAGATTCTATTTCCTCCTGGCTGCATTGACTAGCATAGACCTGGTGGTGTACATTGCATGTGCAAGGTGGTACAAATGTATAAAACTGGAAGCGAAAGATGAGATGCAAGACATGATGAGTGATGATGAAAATGATACCGACAGTGATGACTACGAGGAGCCAATGAAGGATACTAGAGTCTAACTAAATGTGTGTTTGGTTTTCGTTTGTTTTTTCGGTTTTCTGGTGATGTAACCAAACAAACTGATTGATAAATAAAAAGGCTAAATCGGATTTTGGTCTTTTTCATCGAAAAGACTTTTGTTTTACGGTCATGTTGTTCAATAACTTAAAACAAATATATATGGTTTCACTGTGAGTGACTCAAACAAATATGGATCAGCAAATCGTGTAAGGAAAAAAAGAAAGCTGAGCAAAAGTCCAAGATGTAGAAGCTCAAGTAGTAAGAACATCAACCTATCTTTATCTTACGGACTTGTATGAGATGTGTTGATTCTTCACGCCAAATGGGTTGCGCGCCGCTTTGGACAAGCGTTACATGTTGTCCTTCCTTCAGCATATTCTCGTCCTGATGATATATAAGAAAACAAATCAGTGTTTCAGTGTTAGCAAAACTGCATCTGCAAGGTTGATAGACGAGAAAGGAGAACATGGTTAATGCACCTGTAAGAGTTTCAAAGACCGGGTATATGTATCTTCTGCATCATCAGAGAACTCCATATATATAGGCATGACACCTTGATATAGAGCCAGCCTTTGCATTATTCTCTTCCTAAAGGTAAAGAAACAAACATATCAGTCAAAACCCAAAATACGTTTGATTAAAAGTTGCTTACACGTGACATTTTTTGAATGACAGGTAAACAAACACATACTGGTTAGTGAAGGCAAAAATTGTTGAGGACGGGCGGTAATGGCTTAGAAGCACTGCCATGGATCCAGTTCTCGTGAACACAATTATCGGTGTGTTCAGTGTATTCGCCATTATAGAAGCATGAAAAGCAAACATTTGGCCCATGCGACCCTGTAGCAGAAATGTCACTCAACATATGAGTAAAGAACGATATGTGACATTTCTGATCTGAGGAATGTGTGAAGTACCTTGTAAGCAGTGGTGCGGATTGCTGAGGTTCTGACAGGTAGACTAGCCTCGGTTCTCAAAGCCACGGTATGCATCACGTTAACTGCTTTCAGCGGAAACCTGCCATCATAGGATTAAAATACATAAGAATATCTCAAAATCAGTTCTGTTGATGGGTTTAGTTAGATTTACGAACTTTCCATGTGCGGTTTCACCAGAAAGCATGATTGCATCAGCCCCTTCACGTACTGCAATTGCAATGTCAGATACTTCAGCTCTTGTAGGTGTTGGGTGATTAATCATACTCTCTAGCATGTTTGTGGCGACAATCACTGGTTTATGAATGTTCCTACACCTTCTGATTATCTCTTCCTAAAACATGGCATGATGGCAAAAGCATAAGTACCAACAGACTCTAGGGTTATGTTTCATAAACCATGTCTTGGATTTACCTGCAACAAGGGGACCTCCTCGATGGGAAGTTCAGCTCCAAGATCTCCGCGAGCAACCATTGCCTGACAAAGCATTGATAATCATATAAGCCAAGGAAAACAATCTCTGTATATTCTAATCACAGAGAGGACTCTGCCACTAACTCCATCACAAGCAGATATAATGGAAGGAAGATTCTTGATAGAATCTGCGCTTTCAATTTTCACGATCACAGAGATATCCGCACTGCAGGCTATCAAAACATTAGAAAGTTTCATTAGTTTCACATAAATTTCACCAATGCTATTATAGGTCAAAGAAACAGAGATATGCCTAGTTACTTTTAAGATAGTTTTTCAACTCATGGACAACTTTAGCATCCTTAACAAAAGAGACAGCATAGAAATCAACTTGGTTGTCCACTCCAAATTTAATGTCCTCCCAATCTTTATCTGCAACAAGAGCATTAACATTCAAAACCATCGAATTAGAAACCCTCCTTGATGCAAGATTGGAAAACAAAAAAAAACTAATAGCTTGTATCATCAACCTGTTATAGAAGGAAGAGTAGCACTCTTTCCTCGAACATTCAAGTGACGTCTAGATTGAAGCTCCCCACCATCAATAACTACACAATTCACCAAATCGCTCGTCTTGGACTTAACAGCTAGTGACATCATTCCACCTGGTAGAAAGCCATATCTTCCTGTTAGAATTTAAAAATAAAAAAAGACTTCAATAGCCACAACGATAGCAGTTGCACTTACCATCCACCAAAAGTATGTCCCCAACTTCGACATCATTAACAAAATCATCATAGTTTACACTGACGGTGTCTTTCATTGAGACACCTCTCTTGATGGTAAAATTAAACTCTTGACCCTCTTCAAGGAATATGGGCTGAGGTACATCCCCACTTCGAACCTCAGGACCCTTCGCAAAGAATTCAGACAAATAAAAAACTTTTTAGTTTTTTTTAATTTTTTGAAAAACAAAAAGACAAGAAGATGTTCGTTCACCTTTGTATCCAACATGATAGCAATGGCTTTGTCAACAAAGAGAGAGTTGTATTCCTTAACAAGATCAATGGTTTTCTGATGAGAAGCATGATCACCATGAGACATATTCAAACGAGCCACATTCATTCCTGCTTCAGCGAGTTTCCAAATCATTTCTCGAGAGCTAGAAGAAGGTCCAATGGTACAAACAATCTTAGTTTTCCTCCTGGAATCATTATCACTTGTTCTTGGTTCCGCAAACTTGTATGAAGGATCCATCACTCCCTAAAAAAAAAAAAAAAAAAAAAATCAAAACCAGTCCATCGATCAAATCCTAAAACGATGCTAGTTTCACAACATTGGCTGATAAACAACGTGACAAACAAGAAAAGAATGTACTGACCAAATCGAAAGCGCCATTATCTGCATAGACCTTGAGTTTCCGGCTATCTTCATTGGTGTTAATCGACCTGACGGAGAGAGACAGTTGACGGTGAGCGATACCAGACATCCCCCTGACGCCGATTAACGTTGTTCTCTGTGGTGATTGTGATAAGCCAACTCCAATGATCCTGGAGAAGGAGGAGAGAGTGCGATCCACCGTCATTCCCGTTGAGATTTGACCTATCGCCGCCATGTTGCGCCACCTGAAGAACAGAGGAGAGAGAGAGAACGAGGTTTTGTCTTCAACGATTTCCTTTTTTTTTTTCTGCGTCAGAAAACGATATTTTTTTAAGAGTGATACAGAAAGAAGGGAGGGGCGGAGAAAGAGAGACAGAGACTAGGAGCGAGGGTTTTGTCTTGTTGTTATTATATGTTATTGTTTGTTTGGTAGACAGTTACACTGAACCCTCTGGCCCAGGGAGAAGCAAATAATTTTTATACGTCGGACTGGATCTTGTCCCTACATTCGCATATACCTCAAAGTTGATTATGTACCACAGACCATTGTTTATATGAAATGAAAATGAAGAAAAAAAGAGCCTCATATTCAAACCAATTTTGTTATGTGAATCCTATAATTTATTTGTTTTATGTGGTCGACCTAAATTCAGAAGCCAGCGACCATCTTTTGATGTCGGTATTCCAATTTGTGGTTTTGAGTTCTCTAATCTTTCGGGTTGTTGGCTAGACTAGCGGAAACCATTCTAATTTTGTTAAAGCTAGCGGCGTTTGTAGATTCTTTTTGTAACAGTTCCAGATACAACTAAATTAGAAATTTCAGCTATACTCTTAAATCATTAAATCAAGGGAAAATTCTAATTTAACCACAAATTTAATACTAATTTTTAAATTTAAATTTATCGGATAACCATTTTCATAAATATATTGACTTTGTGATGAAAAAATTGAATTAACCCTCCTAAATAATTTATAAATGTTTAAAATTATTTATATAAATTTATAAAACTCAACCTCATCTCCTAAATACTACATTAGTAAGAATAATTATTAAATTTTAAACCCAAATGTTAGGATATTTTTGAAAAGTGATATCCAACTTATGTTATTTCAAGCAATTTCTCTTGAAACAATTATTTTGTTGAAACAAATCTATTTTATTCATAATTATATAAAAACTAATTAAATGTATAAAAACTAAATCAACACTTAAAAGGTACTTAAATAAGAAATTCTACAAGAAGTATACATATATTTATTATATCTGATTTTTTTTTGTTTAAGATATAACATTTAAGGCAATTTAATAATATTTTTTGAGTAACGAATTTTTATTTTTGTGATTTTCATGTTTGTGTGTTATTTTGACAATATTTTCAGTTTTTACTTCAACTAGAGGTTATCACTGTGCTTTGTGTTGGTTTATTTATTTTAAATTTATCATTTTATGTGTATGTGAATTATTGCATTTTATATTATATTATATTTAAAATTTTTGTATAACCAAAATTTGAAAATTTTGTGTTATTTTTGTAGGCAGTTTAGGTCATCTTAATTGAAAACAATTCTCAGAACATGCACTTAGAATATCATTTTAGATTAAGTTGTATTCTGGAATAAATCTAAAACATTTTTAGTATGTTTGATTGTGTAATATTGAATTTAGTAAATCAAATTGAATGAATGGTGAAATAAAATAAAATATTAAATTTTATTAATACAATATTTAATTGATTTTTTTGTTATATTTTTGTTCTTGTTTTATATCATTTTGAAATGTTATCTTATGGAAGGTATTTTCTTATATTGACATCATTTTCGTAAAAAAATTGACATATTTGTTAGCAAAAAATAGTAATTGGTTTATTAATTGTCATTTTTTATCACAGATCCATTAGCTACTTTTGGATATTTTTTGTTTACTAAAATAAAAATATTTTATTATATATTATGTTTCTTCAGTTGATATGTGATATTTTCTCCTATCCTTCTTATGTTGCTGGACCCATCAACGTATAGGGTCTATTCTCCCATTTCTCCTGCTGAGTCTTGGAAATCCACTTCGGACTTTGGGATTGGGAGCATGGATGGTGAGAATTCAGCGACGAAGTCGGCGAGGACGTGTGATTTGATGGCTGTAGCAAGCTTGAAGACTACGTCATATTCCCCAAGCTCAATCGCCCACTTTGCAAGGCGCCCTGACACCTCTAGTTTGTGGAGGACGACTTTTATGGGGAATGAAGTGATTACCCTGATCTGATGGGCCTGGAAGTAAAGCCAGAGCTTCCGGGCCGCCGTAACCAGTGCTAATGCTAGCTTTTCGAGGTGGCTGTAACGAGTTTCCGCGTTCAGTAAGGACTTACTCACATAGTAGATAGGATGTTGTTTCCTTTCTTCCTCTCTCACGAGGACGCCGCTTACTGCATGCTCGGACACGGCGAGGTAGAGTAGCAGGACCTCACCATCTAGAGGTTTTAAGAGGAGAGGAGGTGTTGTGAGGTAGACTATGAGGTCGTCGAGAGCGAGTTCACACTTATTGTTCCATTGGAAATCCTTAGGATTTTCCAGGGTCTCGAAGAAGGCGTGAGATTTGTCGGACAGCCTAGAGATGAACCTGCTCAATGCGGCCCTCCGGCCCGTTAGCCGTTGGACTTCCTTCACATTTCGAGGGGGAGGGATCGCCTGATTGGCCTCGATACCCCTGTAGGTGACTATGTACCCCAGAAATTTTCCGGAGCTAACCCCGATTGAACACTTTGAAGAATGAAGCTTCATGTTGTACTTCCTGAGGGTTACGAAGGCTTGTTGTAGGTGGGAGATTTGATCTTATGCCTTGAGAGACTTGACCAGCATGTCATCTATGTAGACTTCCATGGTCTGTCCGATTTGTTCAGCAAACATCATGTTCACGAGCCTCTGATATGTAGATCCCGCATTTCTCAGGCCAAAAAGGCATGACCTTGTAACAGTAGACGCCCCTTGGGTTCATGAAGGATGTCTTTTCCTGGTCGTCTGGATGCATGAGGATTTGGTTGTAGCCTGAGAAGGCGTCCATGAAACTCATGAGCTTGTGGCCTGCGGTTGCGTTGACGAGATTGTCGATTTGAGGTAGGGGAAAAGGATCCTTGTGGCATGATTTGTTGAGGTCGGTGAAATCTCTGCAGACCCTCCATTTTCCATTCTTTTTCCTTACCACGACCACGTTGGCCAGCCACTCGGGATACTGAACTTCTCTTATGAATCCCGCGTCGAGGAGGTTCTTGACCTCTTTGTTGATAATTTCGTCCCTTTCGGGAGCGAATGTCCTTCTTTTCTGTCGTACTAGGGTGAATTGAGGATCTACCTGCAGCTTGTGCATGATAATCTCGGGGTCGATCCCGGGCATATCCTCGTGAGACCAGGTGAAACAGTTGGACTTGGAGCGGAGGAAGTCGATTAGTCATTGTCTTAACCGAGTGGGAAGCTTGGATCCTATCAGCGATTTCCGGCCCCGGGTTTCCTTCTTCCAGGGGTACCTCGTCCATCTCTTCTACCTCAGGCTCCTCCGCGTGTAAGGTTGGAGGGCCCTTCGGTAATTTCTATAAGACCGGGCTTTTTCCTTTCAGAGTAGTTTGATAGCAGGCCCTAGCATTGTCTTGATCTCCTTTGATTACCTTGATGCCCCAGGGGGTCGGGAATTTGATGGATTGATGGAGAGTTTAGGGTACAGCCCCCATGTCGTGTATCCAGGGCTGGCCCAGTATCATGTTGTAGAAAGATGCGCAGTCGACAACGAGGAATTTCGTTGGTTGGTTCACCCCTTCGGCGTACACTGGGAGGATCACCTCTCCCAAGGTGTTCTTAACCTCTCCGCTGAAGCCTATAAGTGGAGTAACCTTCCTTGTTAGTGCCATTTCCTCCAGTCCTAGGTCAGTGTAGGCTGGGAGGAAGATGATGTTGCCAGAGCTACTGTTATCTATTAGGATCCGTCTCACCAAGCAGCTTGCTACGGTGAGGGAGATGACCAGGGCGTCGTGATGAGGAGCCAGGACCCTCTCCTATTCCTTGGCAGTGAAACTGATCTCATCTGTCCCAAGGAGTAGGCGCTTTAGGTCCCTCGTCTCTTGGCCGTGCCTTGAATTTCTGCTGCTGCGCTTAGCGGCCCCGTGGCTTATACCGTTTATCTTTGAGCCTCCGGAGATCACATGGATAACTCGGTCTTGGTGCGGGGGAGACGCGGGCCTTGTTTCTCTGGGCCAGTTCGCGCCTTCCTTAGCCTGGATGATTTTGGCCTTATCGGAGAGGAAGTCCTTTAGGTGCCCCTTCTTGAGGAGCTCGTTGATTTCCAGCCTCAGGGCAATGCAGTCTTCCGTCTTGTGACAGTGGTCATGGTGAAAGTCGCACCACCAGCTGGGGTTTCGATTAGCATCCGCAGCCTTCATTTTAGGAGGCCATTTGACTGCTGGCCCATCTGCCTTAGGACGTTCACCAGCTCGGGATTTGAGATGGATAGGTGAGAGATGTCGGGCCATGTAGATACGATCATCCCCTCGAGTCGAAGTAGGGCCGATTCGGGCGTCTGTCCCTGTTGTATCCTCCGGCCTCCCTTGGGGGCCTGGACTGGGACCCTTCATCGCGATCGTTCCTAAGTGGCCTGCTATGCCTAGGTTCTTGCTTCTGCTGAGCCTTGGCCTGACTCATGACATCTTCTTCCCATCTCACTTGGGCCCAGGCCCTAGATAGGACATCTTCCATTGTTTTACACTGATACTTAGTTAGTTCCTTGTATAGGTCCTCGTCTGGAAGCAGGCCTCTTTTGAAGGCGGAGATAGCTGTCCATGTGTTGCATTCGGGGATCACCACCTTTTCTTGGTTGAAGCCCGCGATATAGGCTCGAAGAGGTTCGGTCCTATGCTGGAGTACTTCGTAGAGGTCGTCGGAATTCTTTTCTAGGTTTCTGCTGCTGGCAAATTGCTCCACGAACTTGTTGCTCAGTTCCGCGAAGGACCTTATGGATTTCATGGGGAGAATGATGTACCACTGAAGGGAAGGACCGGTTAGGGTTGAGCCGAAGCCCCTGCACATGACAGGTTCCCTCAGTCCTCGGGGGACTGCTGCTGTTAGCATTCGCTGTTTGTAAAGGGCCACGTGGTTGTCTGGATCGCTGGTCCCGTCGTAAGTCTTCATGGTAGGGAAGGAGAATTTCCTTGGCATCTCGACCGAGGCGATCTCTTCCAGGAAGGGCGTGTCGGAGTA